AAAATGGAAAGAGGTATTTTATAAGCTGCAATGACAATGTAAGTTAGTTATACTTTATTAGAATATTTTACAGCTCAGTCTTTGGGTCATGACTTATATTGAGAAGATACAGAAAAATGACCCACGATTTTCACCAATCTTATTTGAGGAACCAATATAGTTAGCCATCTCCAAAATGGAAGAATAATTACTGTTTCTAAGACAACTGGGACAACAGCATGACATGACTGGAAGCTTTCAAGCAGTAAGAAAAAGGACAGCACTTCATTTTACAGAACTGTTGATTCCACAATCCAGCTTGGCCCCAATTCACCTGCATCTTTCATTATTAACACTATCTCAGGGATCTATAAAGAAAGACTCAAACTCTCGGATTAGCATTCATAACCTTACGCCCTCAATGTTAGTGCCTGGAGAGAAGTCACTTTACCTTTCTGAGGTGCTTAGTTTACATCTATAACCAAGAACAATAACTATGTATAAGTATGATGAAAATAATATGTAACATGCTTTCCCCATCTGTTTATTCTCAATAGTCAAATTACTTCTATGGAAATGAGCCAAATAACCTTTTAAATTAAACATACATACTCACAAATATATTACTTACTTCACATTAAGAATTTAATCTTGGGGCTAGAGAGGTAGCTTAAGCAGTAGAGTGCCTGCCTAGCAAGTGCAAAGCCCTGAATTCAAACCCCAGTACAGTCCCCCACCAAATACTGTTTGGCCCATACTGTTTGGGATATAGCTCATTGGTAGCGTGCCTGCCTGCCTAGTATACATAAAGCCATGAGTTCCATCCCTAGCACTACACACACACACACATTAATCTCCGACAAATATTTTTCAACTTATCTAGTTAGGAAGAAGCAATCTGCCTTTTTTTATACTCATGTAACAAATTTAAATGAAGCCTTAGTGACTGCATTTTATTTATAGTGCTTGTAGAGCAATGGAAAAACTGCATGCTTGGTTGGGTAAAGAACTCCTTTCGAAAAAAAAAATTGGCTATCAAACAACATTCTCCACATGTTTGCTAAGACTTGAAAGCACAAAGCCAAAAATCATACATAAGTCATTGCTGAAGTCATATAAAAGTACTGCTTATTGTAGTTAATGCCAAAGTTGATACTATTTACTTCCTTCAATCTGTAGACGCAAACATGCCTGGCCAACTTCATGTATGTAGTAAGGCTACTGACTACAAAACTATGCATGAGACAAAACTGTATTCACTCATCAATATTTTTTCTTTTCTTTCTTTTTTTGGGGGGAGGCTGTACTGGGTTTGAACTCAGGGCTTCCCGCTCATTGGGGAGGCGCTATTCCACCTAAGCCACACCTCAAGCCCTTTTTGCCTCTGATTATTTTGGAGATAAGAGTCTCACTTTTTGCCCAGGCTGGCCTGGACCACAGCCCTCCTATTTTACACTACTTCCAACTGTTGCTGGGCTAACAGGCTTGTGTCACCACACCCAGCTATTTTTCCCATTGAGATGATGTCTCAAACACTTTTCTGCCCAGGCTGGCCTTGAACCATGATCCTCCCAATCCCAGCCTCCCAAGTAACTAGAACTACAGGCATGAGGCACCAGTGCCCACCTTCGCTTACCAAATTTTTAAATAACAAATTACTAGCCCCTAAGAATGAAAAGTATTCTACACACACAACTGGGCTTTAATATAAACTTTAATCACATCTTTTAAAAGATTTAAAAAACCATGCTCACCCTTGTCTACAAATAATACACACTTGGATTCTCTCCATTTTGAACACTTAACACTGTTAATTGTTGTTGGTAAAATACTAATGTTCTCAGGAAGTTTTAGTCACAACGACCTCTAATGCATATTTCTGTCTTTACTATTTAAGTATATTACTCAGACCAGCATCTTCAAATTGGTACTAGGCCTTTATATTATCATCCTTTTTATAATTAAGGAAAGTATCAATGGTTATCTCTAGTAAGTATTTTTCAAAGGGTACCATTACACTAATGAAAAATTTTAACTCAGTATTTTCAAAATTACTATTTAAGTTGGGTGTGGCAGGAGGCTGAGGCAGTAGGATCTATGTAGCCTGGGCTACATAGAGACACCATGTCTCAAAAAAAAATCAGAAACAACAAAAACACAAAACAAAATCAAAATTATTATTTAGAAGGCAATCACATCAAAGAGATATAGTTTTCACCCAAAGATGCTATTGTCTACATAAATATTAACAGTACAAGCAAACGCTTGCTTTACTAGGACTTGTATAAGACCTATAAAGTTATGCACCCCCTACCTTAAATAAAATTGTTAAGTTAGTCTGTAAAGTTTATATAGTTCCAAAAAATCAAAAATACAAATGAGAAGGCTGTGTAATAATATTCACCACCAAAAAAGGATCTACTTCGTAACACCTAGCTTCAAGTATTATTTCTATCTTTTTGGCTCAGAACTAAAATCTGGAGAGACAGAGAGAGAAATGGCAATCTAAGTTGATTAGCCTCACTACATCTTAGTTTTACCAAGTAGAAAACAACGAACACTGGCTCCATTAAGCTTTAGCCACCATCCCACCTTAGAATCCCATATTATCTTCCATAGTCTCCAAAGCAAACCTACTCCTTCCAGGGTTCATGTCCCACTCATCTCTGTACCTTGCTTTCTTTCCAACTAAATTTAATGCTCCTTGAGAATATGTATAATTATTCTTCCTTTCCTTTTCATCCCTTTGTTACGAGTATTCAATCAAGTTCAACATTTAAACACAAAAGTACTAAATTAGAAAACAGAAGTAACTTCAGAGTATTTTCCCACCAGGCTGGGTCTCAGCACATAGCCCACGCTGGCCCAAAACTCATGATCAGTCCTCCTGCCTCAGCCCCTCAAGAACTGAGATTTCAGGCATTCACCACTAAATCCAGCTTCAGAGTATGTTTTGTAGCCTGGAAAACAAAGACCAAGTGAAGTGGTTGTCCCAAAGTCAGTCACAATGTACTCAGGAGAAAAAGTTCTAGTGTTCAAGTCTAACTAGGTGTTCAGTGAGTGGTCTTCCAATCACATCATTATCTCAAATGTTTTTCTTCACAAATGATACTGACTCAAAATTTTCGTATAAAGCACGGAGCCCCAAAAGTTAGTAAAAACCATTTCTCATAGCTAGAAACTGAGATCTAACTATATACATTAAGTAATTCTTAAAGGCCTATTTCTTTTTCTTTTCTCTTCTCCCTTCTCCCTCCAAGTACTGGGGATTCAACCTGGCCAAGTAATCCACCACTTGAGACGAGACACATCCCTAGTTCTTAAAGGCCTATACCGAAGCCTTTAAAATAGCAACGTCACCTGATGTGCGAGAAATTTTTTTTTTTTGTACAGGGGTTTGAACTCGGGGCCTCATGCTTGCTAGACAGGCGCTCAACCACTTGACCCAATTCTTCAGCGACATGGGAGAATTAAAAAACAGGAGATTCAATACATTGCTATTAAAATTCAACTTTCAACAGATGTACCACTTCATCAACTAGCAAATAAATCTAAATCTGTCATAAATTCCAATTGTTCTTAGCAGTTTCTGGAAAAGCGAGTCTTGCTGGGGGTGTGGTTCAAGAGGTAGAGGCGTCTGCCTAGCAAGGGTGAGTTTCTAAGTTCGGAATCCAGTACTGCCAAAAAAAAAAAAAAAGTAGTAATCTGAAAAAGCATGTCTTGAGAACATATGAAGAAGAACCCATGAGCCTAATTTTTACATCAAACCACATACGAGTGAGCACAATAGCGCTCCAAAAACCCCACTAATACAAAATACTAATAATATTCCAAAATTCTGCACTAAAATGAAATGCTGTGTTGTGAAAACGGCAGTTAAAATGTTCACAGTGGAGATAAACATTTTATATATTTAGAAAACTGAGTTACAAAACTTCCAAAGTAAAATAGCTGATAGCTAAATAAGCTATTTCACCAACGCCTAGAGAAAAAAACGGAATTAGATAATACATAAAATACTAAGCTCTGAGTTATTAACTGGGTTGGAACAACCCATTTCCAGTATCTGTGAGATATGATTTGAACATTCAACACAATGCCTGCAGTACAGTATGAGGTCAGTGTAGTGACTATAATCACTACAAAAAATACACTCAACTTCTTCAACAAAGAGTGTGAATACAAAATCTGACACTCTTCCAGTTTATGTTGCTCACCCTAAAAATAAATGGCAAAATGCCAACTATGTGAAGCTCAGAGGCTTTCACATTACCCAATTGAGTCAGCATTATAAATCATAAACTGACACTTGGTTTCCAACCCAAGAGCTCCTTGTGTAGTATGACTCACCAAATCCTCCATTTCTTCCAACTACGAAAAATAAGTTATACTCCTCCCTTACATACTATCACCATGACCTTCGCAGAAATGAGGCTAGCCATTTCTTCTATGACTTTAAAAGACACCATTTACAGAGGGCTCGGAAAAAAGACTGCTTGTTTGAGTTAATACAAGCCACCCAGCGTAGCCTGAATAACCTTTTCGCAGCTCTGGGATCTGGCCTACGAGCCTGCCTTTAGGGAACCCTCGGGGCAGCGGGGCCCCAAGAGTCGGGCCTGAGTACCAGTGGGACGCCTTTTCTCCACCTCTCGTTCAAGCCCGGGCCCCATTCTGGCGGCACAGCGCGAGCCCCGCATCCAGATCCAAACCCTCCCCAGACTCGGACCCGGAGGTCTCGGCTCTCGTTGCCACCCCGCGCCCGGCGCCAAGCCCAGAGGCTTGAAACCCGGGGGTCCGGCAAACGACGCCATTTTAGGCGGCGGTGGCGGCGACAGCCAATCCGCGCGCGGAAGGCAGGGGGCGCCGGGTCGCTCGGGAGCCGCGGCGGGCCGGGCCGGGCGCCGGTCAGTGAAGCTCGGGGGGCCCTGCCGGCGGCTCCGCCATGTTGCCCCCACCCCGCGGTCTCCTCCGGGGCGGGCCCGGACTACAGCCATTTCCGAAGCACCCCGAAAGCAACTTACCTTCTCGCAGAGGCTCTTGACCTGGGACTCGGTCAGCTGCTTGCATTCGTTCAGCTGCTCGATCCACTGGTCCAGCTCCTTGGTGAACACCTTCTCGTCCATGATGCGACCGCCTGAACCGGCTGCCGCTCCGCGCTGCTCCCGCGCCGCCGCCCGCACACGGGCCACACGCACACGCCGCCGCCGGTTCCCGGGGTATTTCTGTGGGCCCTGACGGCTGCTGGGCGCTGACGCTGGCCCCGCTGCCTCTCTCCGCAGTGCTCGGACCGCCGCTGTGCCGCCTCCTCCGCTCGCCCTAGCCCCGGAGCTCGGCTCTCTGTAATGGCGGCCGCCCGGCGTGGTGACGTCACGCCGGCGTCAGGGGGCGGGGGAGAGCGGAGGGGAGCGGACCGAAACGGGCGAGCTGCGCAGCCGCACAGCCGGTTCTGAGGGGGACCAACGCGCAGGCGCAGCGTAGCTGGCCGGAGACCAAGGCGCCGTCGCTCTTGGGGCGTGGTCCCTAAGAAGGTGGGGGTGGAGGAAGGGCAGGACCGAGTCCGAGCCAGCGCGGTGCTGGAAACGGCGAAAAGAGCGGATCCTGGAGCTCCGCGCCTTCCTAGTGCCGGCGCGGACCGGGCGCAGGCGCAGTCCAGATGGAGAGGGGCTTCTGAAATCAGTTCCTTGGAAAGGCAGCTCAGGTGGCACGCCCCAGTTCTCCACCTGGGGCTTGAAACTTGGTTTTGGAAACAAGAATTACGACCCCGTAGTTCTTCACAGTTCAACAGCGGCGGAATTGCGTAGGATTCCCGCACCTTTTAGGGCAGGAGCCGGTGGGGAGTGGCAGCCTGGTGGAAGTGACCTCCCCCACCTCAGGGCGCTGCCTTGTAATTAGGTCACTCGTAGGCGGAGGAAAGTGTACCTGCTGGGGGTGTGTCGCGCTGCGCACCTGGCTCTGCCAGCACACACCTGTCCCGGGCACGCACCTTGTGCGGCGCGATGGCGGGGCCGAGGTTTGGCCTTTTCTCCTGACCTGGGATCATGCCTGGCTCCTACTCACTGGGTGCGGCCTAGCTCGCCGTCTCTTTCCGCACCTCTGCCAAGCGCTTCCCTCCAAGTACAGTTCCCACTGCGAAAGCGACACCCCTAACCCCTGCCGGACCTGACCTCTTAGAGGGGAAGCCCGAAGGACGCGGAGAAGCACCGGTCCCGGCCGTGGTAGAAGCGGCCACTGTCTGCGCTCTAAAGGAACTTGATTAACCCTAAGGCTGGGGTTTTTGGTCGGGCTATGGATCTCTTTGGAGTTTGTGAAACATTTTCACATTACATTGTTCCTGCATTTACAGAAATATTTGTCTCCGTAGAGTGCCAATCATTTGCCAAAATTAATCAAGCTTAATTTTTCTGAAGACTCTGAAGGAGAGGAATAGAGATAGACACTGAGTCGCAGGTGGCATTGGGTGTGCTGAGAGCAAAAACCTAGGAGGTGGGGCTCTGACTCCCTGCAAGTGTCTCACTCCTCCATGGAGGAGGCCAGAACATGGAGGCTTTTCATGTGCAGAGCCACAAGATGCTGACTGCTCTGGACTTTATGTGGGGGCTTCTGGGGCACAGAAGGCTTAGGCAATGCACCGTTTCGGGTACAACGCCCTTTTCAGATATGGGTTCTGAGCCCACGCCAGGGAGCCTGCCCTGGTGGAGCTTGCGGTTTCAGAACATTTTCATAGCTAGCGAAGGTTTGGGATAGACAGAGATGATGGTGTCCCCAGCATCTGAGTGGTAGTGAAGCTTTCCAGAAGAGGTTTGGAACAACAACAACAGCTAAACCTGGTCTCCTGTCTTGCAAGCTCCCCTCTCAATGACAGTCAACCCTGCCATGCCCACGCGTTCGGCCATTCCATTTTTACTCTGCATCTCTGAGGGCATCACTGACCCACAGGCCGTGGCGATCTCCTCTACCAGTGGCAGGACTGAAAATCCTTCAAGACAATCTGCTTGGTGAGGTCGACCGGCTTGTCTTCCCCAGGCTGGAAAATGCAATTTTGCTTTCCCTTTGTACCTCCCACTAGTGTGCCCAGAAGAAAGTACCTGAGATATATTCCACCAGAAGACTTATCACAATCACTTATTTTTCCAGATTGGGGAAAAAAATCCTCTTGGCGCAAATTCTGACGCTGTTTTGCAATTAACATCACCAAATGAGGCAAACCTGTCACTTGATACCCATGGTTATAAAGTTATACCACTATGCTATTTTACCTTGTTCTTCACCACTGCCCTCTACCTGTGTGAGAACTGATCCTATCTAATAGTGCAAGACACTCAGAGAAGGGACTTGCCCAAGGTAATGGTCAGGACTTAAAACTTCATACTCCCAAGTCTCAGCCACAATCACATAGCTGACCTTCCAAGGACTGAAATATGGAACAGGGTCAATATAATTTTCTTTTGCCTGAGTTCTCTTATTTGCAAAGATGGTAGTGATGTTTGGTAAATTTAAAAAAAAATATGTATATATATTGAATGCCCATTATGTGCTAAGATTATAATGAGAGGGTTTTACCAAAGTACTGTGAGCCCCTTGTTAGTAGCATTAATGTAGCTGTTATTTTTCTCTTGATGCAGATTACTTGGCTCACCACCATCACAAAATGGAAGAAAGATATAATTATATGTACTTAAAACATACTGCCAAATAATTAGATGCCATGACTTAACTTCTTAAGGAATGAATTCTAGGAAGCTTTTATTAGCATTCAGGCAGTGGAGAACAGCATACATGATTATAAACAATTCAGAACTATGTTAATCAGAGTATCTTTGCCTTTAGAAGAAATTCAGAATGTTTTAGTTATTCTGTAGAACTCAAAATAATCAATGGATCTGAAAGGTCAATTTGATTAATCTGTTTTTTAACTAATTTGATCTGGTTCAATTCTAGAGCTGAGGAATACATGGAACCAAAAACAAATTGTCTTTTTTAATTCCCCAGAGAAAAATAGTGAGTGAATAAAGCAAATTTACTTTGAGAATCTTTGCTCAGATGATACATTCAGTATACAGCAAGTCTGAGTGTTGGTCATGATGTTTAAACATGGCTATAAATAAAAATCATCTAATGATGGGGGCAGGGTAGGAAGAGGATAACCTTAAGCAAATAGCTTTATAATAGGCACTCTTAGCCAAGGTATAAAAATTGACATTAAACATGGAGAAGGAATGAGATATATCTTATTTGTCAGCAATTCTCTTTGCCTTACATTAGGTATATTTTGTGGATGATGTTCCATCCAATGCCCTGACTTCTAAACTTACTGAGACAGAAAGCGTAGTGTAAAAAAATGGCTCTGGAGTTAGATGGACCTGGCTTTCAATTCTTGTTCTGAAATGCGTACCTGAATGAAGTTTGGCAAGTTACCTAACTTTTCTGAGTCTCAGTTTTCTCATCTATAAAGTATGAATAATTGTAATAGCCAAGAAGTTTCTTCTGAGAATTGAAATTGTAATTGTACATCACAAAGAAGCATATAATAAATATCTAACAAATGTTAGATATTTTTATAATTTCTAAGAAGGCTCTGATTTTAAGACTCTAATGCCAGTTGGAGTCCCTCAATGTTTGCCACGAAATATATAGTGGTGTTTGGGCACAACACAGAACATAGGGATATCAAGAACATTGTGTAGAATCAAAGCCATAGCAGGACGTGGAGATAGGAAATTCAAGGAAAGAGAGGTAAAGATGGAAGAAACAGAATAGCCCCACTCTACCCTTGTCATTGGCAGACATCCAGAAGACTTATGTTGAGACACTGTGACTCAGGAATAAATTCAAGAACTAGCAGGTGGTCAGTCTCATGCCCCTCTCAGCTCAGAATCCTATATCTGAAAAGGGTGTTGTACCCGAAAAGGAACATTGCCTAAGCCTTCTATGTCCCAGAAGTCCCCAAATAAAGTCCAGAGCAGTCAGCATCTTAGTGGCTCTGCACATGAAAAGCCACCTCCATGGCCTCCTCCATGGAGGAGTGAGACACTTTGCAGGGAGTCAGAGCCCCACCTACTAGGTTTTTGCTCTCAGCACACCCAATGCCACCTGCGACTCAGTGTCTATCTCTATTCCTCTCCTTCAGAGTCTTCAGAAAAATTAAGCTTGTATTGCCCTTTCACCTGGAATTAGATGTGGCCAAAGTTTTGTCACTAGGAACCTTGCCACAAATATACTACAGACTTTCCAGCTCCTGTAGTTTGGCTAAAGAAAAAAGAAATGATCGTGTCCCTGGGTGATAACCATGATATACAGATAGCATTCTCAGTTACAGAAGGAAATGTTTTCCTGTTACAGGAAAAAGAAAAACAACCTGAAATAGAAGGCAAAGTTCAACATTTCACAAGGCAGGGTAAGCCTTATGAATACTGTTACTAGCTCTGCAGCTCATTAAAATCCTATCATAGAGGTCTGTTTATTGACATAGAATGTTATACGTAATATGTTAAGTCCAAAAAAATAACTTAAAACAGTATGTATGATATTACCCCAATTTTACTAAACATATGTTACAAATATACACTTATAAGAGACTGTAGAAAGCAACACAGTGAGGTTCTAAATAGTGGTTACTTCTGGTGAATGGGATTTTTTTTTTAATTTCTTCATTCTGCTTACTTGATTCTTTTGTATGTTTCTTTTTCTTTTTTTGGTGGTACTGGGGTTTGAACTCAGGGCCTCATGCTTGCCAGGCAGGTGCTCTACCACTTGAGCCATTCCATCAGCCCACTTGATTCTTCTGTAATGAATACATACTGCTTTTATCACTGCAAAAAGAAAATACTCAGAATATCTGAGTAAACAAAACAAGGAATCACTTGGGAGAACCACAGGCTCAAAAAACTTACAGACAATGGTTCAGCTAAATATTCCACTATGCCCTAGACTATTACTTAAGGCCCTCACTTTTTAGAGAAAAGAGTCTTAAGCTCTCCTATTGCCTTCTCAAATGGCCTCCTAACAAAGCATTTGAAGTAGCCTTCCCTCAGTCCAGCTGGACCCTTACAAAACCCACACGGTACTCATCCATGTCATTCCTGCTTTCACCCTTTGCCCATTCTGTTCCTGCTCCAGGATTGCCCCCTTGTATCTAACCTGTCCAAAACCAGTTTGGTCTTCTCTGGTGACTCTAGGTCTCTTTCGATTGAGGGGATGGGGTGCCTACCTAATTAGAAGGTAGAGACCCCTAAAGAGATCATAGGCTGAGTACAGGCAACCTGGGGAACAATGAGAAGAAAAAAAGATTAAACAATTCTGAAAACAAATTACACTATCTACATTGGGTTCCCTTTCCCCATCAGTCATCCTGAT